TTCAAGTGTCTGAGGTTAAATTTGAACTCAGGTCCTCCTGACTCCAAGACTGCAGTTGTATCTACTCCACCATCTAGCTGCCCCCAAGAAAAGTATTTCTGAAGGAAGTGGAGGTGAAGATGCAAATACAGTTATCCCTTTCACGTTGTTATTTTCCCCATCACAGTTTCTATATATCTCAGACTGGCATAAGAAATTAAATGGGAATTTGGGAGAGTTTTATAGAAGCTGCTGATGACACGTGAAGGCCAGCAGATGGCACAGAAAAAGTTTAGAAACTCAGAAATGCATAAAATATATGTATAGTATGGTATAACATCAACATATTTTATCCTTCAGTACTACAATGCTTTAGACGTCTTCTCTGGTACAAAATGGGCCAAAAAATTTTACTTGGATTTTCCAGATCACTGTGTGTGTGGGATGAGGGAGGCACTCTGCTCCTAAACCCTGAGATGTGGAAGGGATAACTGTAAGAACAGAACTAAGACAACAGCAATAACCTCAAAAGGGATTTTTAAAAAATATATAACTTTACTGATTGGCCTTTTGTGACAACATTTAGATGAGTTACCAATAGTCTCTTGCAATCCCAAAATGCTGCTAGAAAATTAATATATAGTATTTAATTACCAACAAATTATTGAGACTCTAGTAGATGTAAATAGAAACTTCAAAGGGCTAAGAGAAAGATTTAATCAAAATGAACAATCTTACCTCTGAGGTTGTTTACTGTCTAGGAGCAATAAAGCCTTAGGCTAATTCATGAATTTTCCTTATTCCTTATCTTTACCCTTTAAACAACCTACTTGTTTTTGAAGCTAACAGGTTCTGACTTGATTATAGGCTTTGAGAAAATGAAACTATTTGCCTTTCCCAAGTGTATTTGGATTTCAGAATTCTCAGTTCAAACCAAGACTTTAAAGCCAATCAGCACTTTCAATGATGACATTTTCGATCAATACATATACCATTATTTAAGCAATTGACTTTGGGGATTTGAGGTATAGACAGAAAGACAATAAAGTTGCTAACTGTTGTTCCCCCTTCATAACTTAATATTAACATCACAGTATGTTTTAGAAAAGGAGAGATCTTTTAGGGAGAGGAAAAAGCACACTATGTGATATGTCTCCTTCAGAAAAAACTCGAAGCAGCTTCATGTTTTACTTACCTTACATTTTTGTGAGGTTAAAAAGGGCATAGAGAAGTTAAATGAATAATGGAATCAGGACAATACCCAGCCCTATACTCTAACCTCTAAATAAGGTACCAACAATATGGTAGTGGGTTTGCCAGTTGTGTTACCAGCAGAAGAGAAAAGAAGTGTAGAGATACTGTTAATCAGGAATGGGCTTTATTTGTAGGCTTAACCGATGGCTGCTGCAATGGTGGGTGAATACCTGATCATTTTTATATCACACTTGTAATTTTACAAATGATTTCATCACAAGAGCTTTGTGAGGTAGGCAGTACAAGAATTCATTTTACAGATGAAGAAACTAAGATCCAAAGAAATTAAACTAGTACATGTTGGAGCTGGGATTCAAACCCAAGTGTCCTGCCTTCAAGTCAAACACTTCCCATCACATCACAAGGCCTCTTGACATGATTTTGTAGGTTTGAGTTTGCATGGCTATCACTTAAGAGGCTTTGTTTTTCCTAAGTACTTTGCAGTAATTATAATACTGTACCAATTTATGGAGAATGGGTTATGACTACATAGTCTTGAATAGTTAGGTATGCCAGAGATGAGATTAGTACATCTTCCTAAACAACCATGCTTTTCTATTAAACATAATTCTTAAAAGAACTAAGGTTAAGCATTAAAAATAGCCTTTAATAATACTGGTTAAAGATGATATAATGGAAAATTCAGAGCAAGATTTAATCTATGTCTGCTAGGTGTTTCTCAATTCTTAACTACCTTTAGTGACTGTTTAATCCAATTTCTATCTCCTGTCTTCAGAACTCCTAACTCACCAGGATCCGATAACTTGGAGCAAGCGCCTGGAGATTTTATGAAATGCTGAAACTTCAGCTTCCAACTTCACCTTTGTATTCTTTCTTCTAAAATATTCCTTTCCTAAGTATAGTCCCTTTCTCCAGCTTTGCCACTTACCTAGGCATTGGATGGCAGCACTCTCACTACCTAAAACTCTCTCCCTTTGTCTTTCCTAGGGAGAAAATAGCCTTTGTCAACTACAGAAACCAGAGCAAAGATTATGCTATATAAGCATATCGTCTTTGTCAAGTGCTTAGCACATTGTAGGTGCTTAATAAATGCTTATTCCTTTCCCTTCCTCCCTGTGTAAAACTAGTGATTCTTTTCTCTAACAACAAGAAGGCATTTATTTATCTGTTCTTTATTTTTCTTTTTGAGAAATAAAAGGGAAGCATGTATTAAGCATCTACTATGTTCCAGGCACTTTATAAATATCTTGTTTGAGCCTCACAATAACCCTGGTAGAGACTATTATTATACCCATTTCATAGTTGAGGAAACTGGGGCAGACAGAGGTTAAATGACTTGCCCAGGGTCCACAACTACTGTGTCTGAGGCTGCATTTGAACTGAGGTCTTCCTGAGGTCCAGTGCTCTATCTCATGTACCACCTAGTTGCCTTTAGGTGATTTCCAGCTCAGTCCTATCCCATCTGATGTTGGCCTTGCATCTATGCACAATTGCATGGAAATAGCCTGACCTAGATATGCACTGCTTTCTCAAAAAAAAGTTTGGAGCTTCAAAATCCTAGCCTATAACATTATATGCTTTGTTTTTAAAGTGGTTTCCCAACACCAACATAAAGACAAAAAAACTTTGAAAGATTAAAGATCTCTGACCATTGTAGTGACTATCCATGATTCCATTATACTGTTGATCAAAACATTCTAACCACCTCCTGACATAAAGGTGATGAACTCAAAATACAGAATGAGATACACAGTTTTAGGGCATGACCAAAATGGAAATTTGTTTTGCTTGACTCTGTAAATTTGTTATATGGGTTTTTCTTTCCTTCTTTTCAACTGGTGCTTCAGAGGGAGGAAAAAGAGGATAAAGATGGGGTTCCAAAATAAAAATGTTGAGAGAATAGAGAGAAGACCAGAAGGAATGACTGACAAGCAGGACAGCTCTGAAAGTTATGTGTTGAGTTTACAAAAGCAAGCTCTACATTATAGAGATTTATATGCAATTAAATGCAATCTCCTCCTTTTCTACAATGTACATGTATATGAAAATGCTCATTTATTTGATGTTTGTTTAGTTTTTTTTTTAAAGTGTCTTCCTTTGAGTAATTTAAAAGATATATCACCCCTGCCACTACAATTCCTCCCCTCCCGGGACTAAATCTTTTTCCTTGGGTAATAGGTAGATAAGGAAGATGAAAGCTTTATTATTTTAAGACCTCCACTAAAATGCAGAAATTACCAGGGCCTGAAGGAAAAACAATAGAGCTATTACCTTTCCATTAAGATTTGTTATCCCACTATCACACATTATGTTATCTCTTGGGAGGGAACCTTGTCTTAGTATATGGAGAACTAGTCCAGGAGTCAGAATGACTTCAGTTTAAGTCTTGCCTTCTGACCTATACAGGCCCTGTACACCAGTCAAGCCTTAACCTCTGAATGCTCTAGACAACTACCTCTCCAAAAATTACACAATGCAGAGGAGGTACCAACTTGCACTGGGAGAGGTTGTTTTGTCACTAGGGAGTTCGTAAGTCCCCCGTCTATCCTAACTCTTGACAACTAGTTGTGTCTGTAGGAAAACGCAGAAGGACCCAAAGGAATTGACTCTGGACTAATACATTTTGTTGGACCACATAGCAGAGAGAGATTCAATAGGGTTGAAACACTTTAGTGGAGAGAAACACCCTATTAAATAGATAATCATAAATAAGTGGGAGAGGAGGAAAGAGCAGACCAAGGAGCCAATGTAGGCAGTGGTGTGTGGCAACTTATCAGGACTGGCTGACATAAAATGATGCTCTCCTGCCCTTGAAGATTCTGTTGAACAATAGTATGACAGCTGGGAAGTCAATGTCATGTGGAATTGAATAAAGAGTTGCATATCCTTATTAACAAATACTCCTTGGAGTGTTTACAACCTGGAGCATATCTAAATCCTGGAGAAAAAAAAATGGTGTAAAGGAAAGACAGGAAGAATGCCTGCTAAAGGATACCGGCAGGACAGTAGCAGGAAATTAAAGGTCAGTTATATCGGGTAGACTGATAGCCTCAAAGCACAGTGTGTGTGTGTGTGTGTGTGTGTGCGTGTGTGTGTGTGTGTGTGTGTGTGTGCGTGTGTGTGTGTGTGTGTGTGTGTGTGTGTGTGTGTAGGGGTGGACAACTATGCCTCCTTCATATTTTAGAAGTACCGATGACCAGGATGCTGCAGAGTTTGGATGATCCATTTGCCAACCTGCAAAAACTTTTTAGATCACCGAGGACCAAAGATCACCTTTGGCTAAGGCAAGAGCTGGGAAAATGCATTGCGGTTTCTTCCAGTGCTTGGCTTTACCCTTTTCCCTTCTCAATTGGAAATGTTTTCTAGAGTGGCCTGATAGAAACTCTGGGTTAGGCTCAGTGCAAACACCCGACAGTCTGTGTGTTTTGATTTATTGCCCTTCGAAGAAAGGGCTCCGCCTCCGAGCCCGCGGTTACTGTATCACGACACGGAGCCCAAGACTTGCGCTTCCTGCATCCCCTTAGCCCACCACGAGGCGCCCTGGAGCAGCAGCCCCGGGTAAAGCGCCCCGGCTCCTTCAGGCTCGGGCCTGGAGACGGAGCCGCCCTTCGCTATTGGTCGGTCGGGGCAGAGGACGAAGAGAACGGAGCCTCGCGATTGGTCGGAACCCCATCCGGAGGAGGCGGGGCCGCTATATCACAGGGAATCACTGACTGGGGGCAGGCAGTTAAGCTGCTGGAGTGCGGCGGAGCCGGGCCCGGAGAGAAATCGGGAGAGAGGGAGGGCGGGCGGGCGGGGAGGGGGTCTGCTGGAGTTCTTGCCTGTAGCTTCGCAGCTGCAGCCCAGCCCGGGGACGGGATCCGAGCCTCTGTGCGGGAGGCAGCGGCTGCACCACACAGCCCGGAGAGGAGGTCGCGGTGGCCCCCCAACATGCTGTGCTATGTGACGAGGCCGGACGCCGTGCTGATGGAGGTGGAGGTGGAGGCGAAAGCTAACGGCGAAGACTGCCTCAACCAGGTGAGAGCGGAGCGGGAGGGGGGACGGACTGCTGGGCGTCTGGGCGGCCCTCCTCGGGGCTCCCGCTGGCGGGCCTGGCGGCCGCCTCTGCAACCCGGAGGAGGAGGGCGGCGAAGCGGCGCCGGCGCCGCCACCGCCGCCCCGGGGAACGCGCCGGAGCCTCCTGGCCGCGCGCCCCGCGTGCGGCGCGGATCCCCTGCTGGCGTGAAGCGCGTGGAGGCGCCGCCGCCTCCTCCTCCTCCTCCTCCTCCTCCTGCCGCGTGGGGGTGGGGGCGGGGGCAGCCGGGGCTGCGTGCCTGGGTCTGTCTGTCCTGAACGCCCGGGTGGTCGGCGCCCAAGGTGGGGGGGGGTGCTCCCCTAAGAATGCAGCGCACCTGCGGCAGGTGTCCGCTTGACATTGCCCCCACCTCACTGCTGCAAGACCCGACCAGCTCATTTGCGGCCGGTTGTCCCTTAGTCCCCTTGTTGTCCTTGAGATGCCAAGGAGGATTCTTTGTTGAACGTGTCCTGCTTCCCCAACATCTGCCATCGGTTTTAATGTTTTGCAGAACTGTCAGTGGTTTGGGTAATCTGCTGCTCCCCACACAACCTCCCAGCCCTGCCTGTTGTATTTTGGCATCTCTGCCTTTGGAAGTTTTAAAAAGAAAAGGAGAAAAAAAAAGAATGGGATACAGTTTATCCCAGACAGTTTAAGTTTGGCTCCTATGGAAACTCACAACTGCATCCAGATCCCAAGACCAGAGAGGTCTGAAAAACCTCTTGGAGAGCTTAGCTGACACTTGTGGAGTGTTTGTTTCCCCGGCTTGTTTTTTTTTAAGTGTCCATATGGCTAAAATCACCCAGATACCGAACTTAAAATTCCTCTGTACAGATTGTGCTGGTGCAGAGTTCCAGTGACTGGAGTCAAATGGAAAATAGCCAGTGGTTTGCTTCAGTGACTTTTCAGCTGCTTTTGAGGGTTATTGGCAGGCTTGCTAAGGTATTAGATCAAGCACAGTAAGTTCTAGTGCCATAGGACCAGAAATCTCAGGAGTCTTTGAGCTTTGTCTCCTAGATTAGCACTAGGAAATCTCCCCTGCTGCAGAACATGCCAGGGTGGGTGCAGATTTAGGATTTGTTTTTACATGTAATCTATACACTTAATGACGTTGATCTCGCAGAGCTACACATCCTCCTTGCTTAAGTGATGTGCTCACCTTTTGTTTTAGGTTTGCCGAAGATTGGGCATTATAGAAGTTGATTATTTTGGACTGCAATTTACGGGTAGCAAAGGCGAGAGTTTATGGTTGAATCTGAGAAACCGAATCTCCCAGCAGATGGATGGGCTGGCCCCTTACAGACTTAAACTAAAAGTCAAGTTCTTCGTGGAGCCACATCTCATCTTACAGGAGCAGACTAGGTAAAATGAAGCCAAAATAAACTGATGTAAAATGTGACTGTGGTGCTGTTGTACTAAAACTATCCTGCCTCACCTAGATAAGATATGATATATCTTATATACTTTTGGACATATTTAGCCAGTAAAAAGTGAGTTTTTAAAAATTATCTGGAAATTCACAATTGTCCAACTTTTTCTTTGGGTCAGGAAGGGACTGCTGCATATATTTAATTGACCCATTTTAGAAAATCTGAAAGGGGAGCTAGAGACTGTTGCTAGTTCTTTGAAAACTTGTTGAAGAGCAGGATTAAATTCATATGAAACGCTACTGTTCAGTGCTATCAAGAGTTCTGGGTGGCTGGGACCTCTTCCTCCTAAACGTATGAATGTCCGATAGTAACCTCTGGCTCAGCAGTGTTACTCTAGGTCATTGTAAGCTGCTCTAACTGAAAAGCTGGAAACAGTTCCTCTTAGCTTAAACTTGGTCAACTTCTTCAGTCTGGTCTCAAGTTACAGCAGTTACAGCGGCTATGAGCTCTGGCTGGAAAAAAAAAAACAAACTTATAACGATTCTGTCTGAGGTTGTCAGATGAGCATTGTAAGAATTATGTGAGTTTTCCCTGGTTCTGAACATTTTCATTAGGCTTGATTTTTACATGTAGGTATTAAAAAAATTTATAATATGCATGAATGTTTTATGTTCACGTGGTGTACCAACAGAAAGTGTCATTCTGGATAGATTGTAATGCTTTCGCCTACAGTGGCCCAAACTGGAGGCTGCTGCTTTTAAACATTTGTTGATTGAAATTCAAGAGACTTTGCTGCTCTGTGTAACTTGAATCTCCTACCCTGATAATTGGCTTAAAAGTAGTACATCGAAAAAATGATTATTTTCAAACATAGTAAACCTTGGATAAAAATTATTAATACTTTCCCTAGTACTTGCATTTCAGTTTAAACTACTGCTTTATATATGAAAGAGGAAAAATAGCCTCATGTTAGATTTTTGGGCATTTCGTAGTTAAATCCTATTCCCTCAGTTTTTAATGATGGCACTTTTCTTTGTTAATATTCTTAGTCCACAGAAAATTATAAAAATTATCAAATGTTTAATTTTTTTTTTTTTTTACAAAGTAAGATTACATAGGGATATAGTAGAAAGAGCAGTTGAACTCAAGTTAGTGGGGCCTCTGTTTTGTTCTCCTGTTTACTGCCTTTGACCTGGGGCAAGTCTATTAGCTTTTCTGTACTTAACTTTTTCTTTTCTTATTTAAAAAAAAAAATCTACATAAAGGAGTTGAACTAAGGGGCATCTTAGATCTATCAGTTCCAAAGCCCACCAGCCTATGAACTCTCAGTTTAAAGAATGGTCCTGTAAGATGTCCAAATGTCTTCATATCTTTCATTCTTATTTCAATCCCATTAATTTAAATACTGTTTACGTGATTTTAACTTGAACTGCTTTGTGAAAGCTTCACTTAGCAATTATGACTTGGAGGTCAGTAAAAAAAATCAACACTTAAGAATTTTGATTGCATGCTGCTGTCATTTATTTATTTATTTACTTATTTATTTATTTAATATTCCTCCAGACCTTTCTGGGCTTCTGGATGGAAAAATAAATTCCAGTAAAATCAAATGTACTTTTGAATCTGCATAAATGTGGACGACTACTTCATTTAAATAATGGTGCAATAATAGTAGTATCTTGGTTTCACTTCATATTCACAGAATTCTAGCTTAAATTATTTATTATCTGGTCTTTACCATTATTTATGTACTAAGAATTGGAATTCTAAAAATTATATTCATTTTACACATGCGAAAATGTGGAGACTTTTTGCCAAATAATTCAACTTTAGAATTAGAACTGTATTAGAATTCTACATAGCCACTGCTAATGACAGTGTTAACATTCGACTGAGAACAGAACTAAAAGCATGGATTTACCTAGAGCAGCTAGTTAACTTTCACTGAGCATCTTTTTAGAAGCTCTTTTGAAATAGATAAACACGAATTACTTCACTTGCTTTATGCTGGAATTTATTTCATTTATATTCCAATGACCTTTTAATCAGTTCTCCTACTTGACCTCTTTGAAGCCTTTGACACTGTCAGTTACCCTCTTCTCCTTGATACTCTCTCCTCTCCTGGTTCTCTTACCTATTTGACCTCTGACATCTGACACTTTTCCTCCAGGTCATGTCTTTCAGATGTGTTTGTCCCACAGGGCTCTAACCTCTTCTCCCTTTATACTATTTGACTTGATTTCATCAGCTCCCTTGAATTCAGTCATCATCTCCGTCCTAAGGATTTTCAAATCTACCTACCCTTCCCTAACTTCTCTAGTCTCCTGTCTCCAACTACCTATTAAACATCTTGAACTGGATGTCCTGTAGTCATTTTAAACTCAGCATGCCCACAACTGAACTCATTGTCTTTTCCCAAGACCTTCTCTCCCTTCCAAACTTCCCTACTACTATTAAGGGCAACACTATCCTCCCAGTTCCTCAGGTTTTCAGTCTAGGTGTTATCCTCAACTCTTAACTTTCTTTCATACCCCCATGTCCAGTCTGTGGAGAAGGCCTATTAATTTTACCTTGGTATTATCTCTCAGATAGATCCCCCTTCTCTCTGATACTGCCACGCTCATTTCTTCATTTCTGGACTGTTGCAGTTGCCTCCTGGTCAGTTGGCTAGCCAGCCATACTTACCTTCTCTCCAGTTAATCCTGCACTCAAGCCACTAAAATGATTTTCCTAAAGTACAGGTCCAGTCGTGTCTCCCTTCACTCCAGTGGCTCCCTGTCACCTGCAGGATCAAATAAGTTTTCTTAACTTATTTGAGGAACCTTTCTGTTTTCTCAAAACCCTTCCTACCTAGTCCTCCACCCTTATACCAATTTTCCAGTCTTTTCTGCACTCCACTTTGACTCTTCACATATTCTTGAATCTAGTGACACTGGCATTCTTGCATTTCCTCAACTCGCCCCAACTCCATCTCCATCTCCCTACTCCAGGCATTTTCTCTGGCTGACCCTCATGCCTGGAACTTTCTCCCTCCTAATCCCTGCCTACTGGCTTCCCTGTCTTCCTTCAAGTCCCATGGGAAGCCTTTCCCAATCCCTTTTAATTCTAGGGCCTTCTCTCTATTGATTATTGATTATTTATTCTTTATGTAGCTTATTTGTACATAGTTGTTTGCATGTTGTCTTTCTTCCCCCTTAGATTGTGAGCTCCTGGGGGATAGGAAAGTGAGACTATCTTTTGTCTTTCTTTGTATCCTCAGAGTTTATCACAGTGCCTAGCACATAGTAGGTGCTTAATAAATATTTATTGACTGACTTAATGATTTACTCTTGTTGTCCTTTCCTCATCTTCCTCCTCACCATGCTCTATCCCTAAAGATATTTTGGAAATCCCATTTCAATGTACTTGAAAGGGTGCTGTTAAATCTATATTTGTATTTTTGGTGGCAGAGGAAATTTTGAACAAATACTTCTTTATTTATATTCCTAATCAGCCCACATTGAAATAGTCTTCTTGGCAAGTCTTGTGTCTTCTAATGCAAATGATACAAGAAAATGTTTGGGGGGAAATATGGTATAATTTTTAGAATGGCTATTTCATTAGAATTCTGCCTATTAGATTGTTGACATTACTTTGCATTCAGCAGCACTTTAGAGAAGCAATGTGATATGATGCAAAAGCATATTGTTTGAAAGGGGGCTCTGCCATTTATCTTAGGCAGGTCAAATATCCCAGCTTTTTTCATCAGTAAAATGGAAATATTGCCACTACCAACCTTGCAAAGTTGATGTGAGAATCTAGTGAGATATTTAGGAAAGCATTTCTGAAAGCATTGTATATATGTAAGTTATTTTAAAAAATCTTTTGTAGGTTTGTGCTCTACTAGTTTTTACTGATGCTTTTACTTTTATATTGCATTCATTGCTGAATGTATTCCTTCCTGCACAGCTCTCCCGTCAGCCCCCAGCATATTTGCTCTATTGTTTTAAAACTTGGCATTCTAGAGACTTTATAATAGTTTTGTTAACGGCTTCTCTTACAGAATAGTTTTGATGCTAGGAACTGACCATACTGTTTCACACTAAAACCTCATTTAAATCACATCCCTCTAATTGGGAATTCATAATCATTTGAACAGGGTTGAACTAAAGTTTACTTATAACCTGTTGGGGGTAGGGTGGGGGAAGAATGGCTTGCCAGGCAAGTGAAGTGTGTGAAAAAAGATGCAAAGGCGTCTGGTTTTGTGTGCTTATGAAAAGAAAGTGTTTTTAAGGACTTGAAGTATCCGTTTACACATAAGTATATAATTACAGTGTCAAAAGGCAGAACTGCTTTGTTTTATCAATTACACGTTATAAATGATAATTACAAATTTATCTAGTCAGTAAAGCAAGACTATGTTCTTGGAAATAAAACTGTTTTTCTCATTAAAAAAAAAAAAAGAGACTTCACCAGTTCATGTAGTCTGCTTCCATCTTATTCTAAATCACCATCTGTATTATTGAAATATTAGTATTAATTGCATTCATTTTGGAAAGGGTTTGGCTGTAAACACCTCTGTATTACAACGTTTAGGAACACATAACTTCTGTGGGCAATCTTAAAGTTTAATTGTTTTGAGCTTTTTTAATGTTTGAACCTAGGCTTGTTGCTAATTTCTAAATAACATACTAAATGTTTTGACTGTTAGAATCTAAACTAGTGGATGAAACCTGACATTTTATTATGCTGTAAACTAATCATAATAATAAGTACTTTATATGTAAAATAAGTACTTTATATGTAAAATACTGTGACTTTATTATAGTAACACTTCTGATTGAGTGAGAGGTCACCTTTGACTTACAATAAGCACTTAGAATAAGCAAGTACTTATTTGGATTTTTAGGATAACAAAGAAGTATTAAGATTGTTTACTATAAAGTACTTTAAAACCCTAGAAGATCATATTTTATATATATATATATATATATATATATATAATGGACAAGC